GGCAAATGACTCAAAGGACTCTGATGAGTGACTTTTTCTGTCATTAAAATGAATCTCTGATTTTAATTGAGTGAAGAACTGTGGTTACTTTTTGAATGTAATGGCAGTGCATAAAGCTCAGTTGTTGAAATACACTCTTTGATTAATTTTTTCTGATTTTTGCCTTAAGAAAATTTTTTGTGGAACCAAATAAACGTTTTTCCCTTCTTTCTTAAGGGAAATACACCCCTGGTTAACGTTTTTTTTTCAGTTAACGTTTTTTCCCCCTGCACCAACTAAAAACGTTAACTGAGTTTGGGAACGTTAACTGAGGGAATTTTTTGGGAAGGATCGGGAACGTTAACTGAAAAAACGTTAACCGAACGGAACGTTAACCGGGGGTTGACTGTATTAGTTATGTTGGTTGGAAAAATATTGAGGTTTTGTTGGTTATTTGTTGGTTGGGTTTGTTGCTGAGGTTGTTGGATCGGATTTTGTAAAGTTTGTGGTTCAACAGAGGGGATAGTGTTTTCTTCAGGGTTTGTTTGTAATATGGGAAATGTAACTCCTAGGATAAAATTTTGCATTGGTCCCAGTCTTAGCCAGTCAGAATGTAGTTGGTCCGGAGAATGAAGAGCAATGTTGTTGAGTTCTTGTTGTAATTGTTGGATCTGCTGTGCTTCTTGGACGTCGTAAGAGGTTGTAGGTATGTTAAGGATATATGCCCATGCAGATATGAGTGCACGGTGAATGCAACGGAAAGTAGATTGGGTTGTTGGTGTTAATGATTGGGTATGTGTTTGATCTCCCAGGACCATAGCTTGGGCAATGGCAAGAAGTTGTTTTGTCGTTCTGCGGAGGCTGAGATATGGTTGTTGTTCGGCAGAAGTTGATGACGTTTCTTTGCTGCGGATTGAGGGTGAGCCTGGAGGTGTTGAAGGTGGTAATCTGAGTGGTGGACGACCGAGGCAGCGTGTATTTCCCCGACGTGATGTTGACGTTGAAGGTAAGTTTAATGGGTCTGTGGTAGAAATTTCTCCAATGGGTGGTGTATGATGAGGTATTCCAGATGTTTGTGTTAGCAAGTTTCCTGTAAGGAGTCGATGACGTGGCATGGTGCGCTTTTGGTTGTAATGAGTTCAAGGAATGTTTGTGAGGCGTAATTCACGTAATTTGTTCGAGCAAGACACTAACAGTTGTAGTTAGCACTGAGGAACTTGTTGGTAAAGCACTTGTGCACTTCAAAATTGAAAGAGTAGGGTTTTACACTTTGCCAGAAGTGTTTGCACACACTCACTGGCCACCAATTTTGTCAGAGACTCCAAAGAGCCAAAGACAAAGAAATAAAAGTTTTAGGAAATAAAGGAAGGCACAATAGGCCGTTTGCGGCCGAGACTAGGTCTCCTCAAATGGTGTAATTCAGTAACACAGATTGACAACAGTTTTCACTTTCAGGAATCAGGAGGACACACTTTTGCAAGAGCACTTTTAGGAACCTATCCCTACCAGAATCTCAAGATGAGTGACAATCTTTGGTGCTGCAGAGTTCTGGGACCAGTACTGGAAAACTGGTTTCCAAGGTCGAGTTGAGGTGAGTTCTTGTGGTCTGAAGCAGGGTTGTGAAATATTAATCATTTATGTGTTTGTGGCATTTTCAGGTGTAGCATCAGTGATTGGAGCGTAAAGGGCAACACCTTGTGGTCCCTGACACCTTGTGTTCAGGTTTTTTTTTTAAATAGCTTTCTCCTTCCTACATCCATTTGTAGTTATAATTTTTTTTGTAGTTATAATTTATTAGGTTTTTCATTTCGTTTTCCATTTTTTCATCTCCTGTATTTAATAATCAGGGGTCATTCCAATCAAGATAGCCGTGAAAACCTGATTTCTGAGTATGCTGCCTACATTTTATCAGATTTATGATCTTAACTCACTAGTCCCTGATACATGAAAATCAATGGTAATTTATAATCAGCTGTCATTCATAATCCTGCCATATATGCACTTCTTCATCACCCATTTTTATGGCACTCAAAGGGAATGATACATTTGGGGGCTTCTGGCATCTAGTGTGAAAAACTTGCNGCTGACCCCTATCCATCCGCAGTCCTCATTTATGCTACTGGACCTTGCCCCTCACAGACATCCGACAAATATGTCACAAACTACGAAAAACGATCAGCCCTTCCAAACTTTAAACAATTCTCAGGACTGCCAGAAAGTACCTACACCTTTGAACGTCTATGGTCACATTTCAAAAACGTACACATCTTACCACGTGATTATATTACACCCGCTGAATGAATCCAACTACTCCTCTGCCATCTTAGCGAACGCGCCTATGACATTATCGACCGCCATAAAGACAAAGAAATAAAAGTTTTAGGAAATAAAGGAAGGCACAATAGTCCGTTTGTGGCCGAGACTAGGTCTCCTTGAACGGTGTAATTGAGTAACACAAATTGACAACAGTTTTCACTTTCAGGAATCAAGAAGACACACTTTTTCAAGAGCACTTTCAGGAACCAATCGCTACGAGAATCTCAAGATGAGTGACGATCTTCGGTGCTGCAGAGTTCTGGGACCAGTACTGGAAAACTGGTTTCCAAGGTCGAGTTGAGGTGAGTTCTTGTGGTCGGAAGCAGGGTTGTGAAATATTAATGGTTTATGTGTTTGTGGCATTTTCAGGTGTAGCAGTGATTGGAGCGTAAAGGGCGACACCTTACGGTCCCTGACATCTTAGTTGGTTTCATAAAAATTGACAGACATGAAAGACATCCGAAAAATACATTATACCCGCATAAATATGAGTATAATGCAGTATACAAAACCTGTCATGACGGATTTCATCTGAAATCAGGCAACCGTTTTTTTTATTTATTTTGACATTGAAAGTAAATTTTTTTTGAGAAGTGAGGGAGTAAAAACCGAGCATCTGCGGGAAATGTGGTTGTCAATTTTGTATTTCAAACGGATTCAATGCTTCTAATCATTTTTACGATGGCGTTGAGCTTGCATTTCCTCGCTGATGGTATTTTAAAATTGAGAAATTTTTAGTCAGTGATTCGCTTGAAAATATTCGTTCAAAATTGCAAGGGATCTGAAATTCATCATTCACAAATGGAAATGATTCATTAAGCGTGGACCCATTTTGAAATGTTTTGGGAAATATATTCCTTTCAAAATTGCCTGCAAATTCTCAGTGCAATCAGGTGTTGAGGATATTCCACTTGCAAATTGTTTGGTTCCATTTCTCTGATCAATTCCACGGCCAACAATATTAGGTTGACAATATGCGCATACATTTTTCCTAAAACTTTAAAATTCACCAGACAACAAAAATACAGCTGAAACTGGATAACTTGAACCTCCCTGACTAAGTCAAATACCTCTTTATGCCAATTTCTTCAAAGTTCCAGTCTGAATTTCATTAGATACAATGAATTAAAAATCCACGAACTCGAAGGCTTTCATCCCCCTTCAATCTCCATGACTTCAATTTTTCCAGGGCTTATTTTGGCTTTTTTGGGAAATACTATTTACATAAATGGGATTGCAATTTGTAATATTGTAGGCTTTGAATTGCTTCATAATTGGCTTGGAAGGATACTTAACTAGGAGGCCTGGGCTCATTTGTCTAATGGGTCATTTCCATTCAAAATACAGATGTAGTTGCATTTTTATTATTTTTTGTTCCTGAGTAAAGAAATATGCAAAAATGCCGCCAGAAAAGGCAACTTATAGAGGTTTGAGGAGAAAGGCCTTTGAGGTAGGCAGGTTTTTAATGCTTTCTAGGGGAATCCACATGGGGATTTGAGAAAAAGTTGACATGATATAGGGAGGTTTTTGAATTTACTGCATGGATGTTTGAGTTATCAACCATATACTCAAAGCTTAAGCAACATGAATTCTCTTCCTGGTCCCTTGAAGTTTGACTGATGAACCTCCCACTTCCAGTTATTTCCATTAAATGATTGGGTTTCCCTCTGCGAATAAACATACAACAAATATTAGACACAATACCAAATTCCAGTTGAATCTCTGGTCTAAAGAACAGTGATCACTAAACAGTGGTCCACAAGCCATTGCTGGTCCAGAGCAATTTTTGCATGACTGTGGGAAATTTTCTTCAGCAAAATAGTCATAAAAAGTAGCATGAAGTCTGTTATCTTTATGTAAAATTTTGAATAAAAAGGCAATTGCAATTATCTGATGAAACGTAAAAGTTGGCTTTTCTTGTAGTAAAACTTCTGACAGGTTTGCACACGCCAAGATAAATTATTTTAACTTCTCATTCTGATAAACTTATATTTATGCCCATCTTTCTCGTTTTTTGAAGGCATTTGACTATATAAAGCTGGTTAATTTTTGTTCTCAACTATTTTTGCTATGCAGCAGAAATATGTCAAGTACCTATACCTGTCATGAAGTATTCAAAACATAACTTTCTCAAGTCTGCAAAAATTGCATGAAACTTTACTGCCCTGCAAAAATGGTGTTGGAAATTTGCTGGTCTGCAAAAAAGTTTGTGGAATCTTCCTTGGTCCACCTGCACAAAAAGATGGGGGAACACTGTTATAGAGCGGTGTTCCCCAACCTGTGGTCTAAAGACCAGCTCTGGTCTGCAGAAGTTCTTTCTTGGTCTACAGGAAATTCTCAGCATAATATGTGTATAAAAAGTGGGAATGAATTTTTGTTATCTTTACTCTAACTTTTGCAAGGACAATGGCAGTTGAAATTATCTGATGAAAATAAAAGTTGGCTTTTCTCTCAACACCTCAGAGAAATTTACCCCTGCTGAAATACATGGGGGTACTTTTAATTGTTTCATTCTGAGGAACGTTTCATCTTGCTTGGGCATTCCAGCATTGCAACAACGATTGTGCACAGATCAACAAGATCTGGATCATGCACCCACTTTGCTGCAATGCAGTAAACCTGGTGGTGTGATAACAATCAATCACTACCAAAGGATTTGGTGGGCTTGTGTGATGGCATTTGAGTGTGAGCTGTGTTGGGAAGCATATCTGGGAACTGTGTGCCTTTTTGTGTGTTGGATTTTATCTCATTTGACTTGGTTGTTCTGCAATTTGGAATTGTTTGCTGTTGTTCTGTTCATTTGGTTGGTTTTTGAATTACGTTGCTAAGGGACTCCTGTAAGGAGGATCTGGCCTCCTAAAGGATGAGGGACTTTGTCCTTTTATTTGCAACTCTTTGTTGTGATCTGTCCCGACACTTCAAGCCCACCTTTTTAATTTTTTGATGTAATTCCAGTATACACCTGCTTCATTGGTGCTTAACTCAATTTTCAAAAAAAATAGACATTTTAAAATACAATACCTGCGAGAAAGTCTTTCAGACAAAACGTTTGGGAGTCTGCAAAGTTTTATGCAACAGTTTCCAGCAGAATATTTACTTGGGTATTTGCTGGTCTACGAAAATTCTTCTTTGATTTGATGGAAATGTTGCCCTATCACAGGTCTGAATAGGTCCCAGTACACTGTTATGGAGGACTAAAACCTGTTTCTGTTCAATTTTTCTCTCTTTTCCTACATTTCTCAGTTTGTTGCACCTTTTATACAGGTCACGTCCCCAGGATGAGCCCGTTTCTCTTCAGCCCTATTTGCAGCAGGAATCATTGTTTGCCTATTGCCTCCATCATCCGTCTTACCTCGTGGCAAGCCTCGGAATCAACAGCACTTTTTCGCCCCCGATTCTTTCCTCCATTATCGTCTCTCGTGGCTTTTCATGTCCCCCTGTGAGTCATGGTGTGTTGAATAACGATGCGATTTTCCCACCAACACGATGTAAAGAGACGAAAATTTCGGGCGTTGATGGGCCGAGGAAGTCCATCATCTAACCCTGGTAGACCCTTTGACCGAAACCTATTCTTGTATAACAGCAGCAACACAACAGACCATGAAGGAAAAAAGAAAATCAGAGCTCCAGCTGAAAGATAAATGGTTTTGATTTCCCGCTGCTCTGTGTCTGATGAACTCCCAGGATGATGTTTGATTCTTATTAGTGCTCTCCAATTGAACATACTTGAATTGAAAGAAAAGAGATGAGAAAATAACTATAGTGCGAAAGAAAGTTGAATGCGAGACATGTGCTTTGGCATTTGGGTATTCCAGCAAGGCGTCATTAAGCTGTAGCACACAAGGATCTTGGATTGATGACCGCTAAAATTCACCTTTTTTTTAGGACCGACGCCCTTACCAAAGATTAAACTCTGCTGCAGGGACGAGAAAAAAATTGAAAATTTCAAGTTTTATCATGAACACGATTACATTGAACTCTTTGTATGACGATTGTTCGAACAGTTTACTGAAGTTTTGGTCGATTTTTGCTTTGGATAATAGACGCTGTTCAAAATATTCGGTTTATAGAGAAAAGTTGGCAAATCGGAAATCCCGCAAGAAAGTTCTGCATATTACCATGTTTTTATGAACTCACTTTCTTGTCTGTCTGTCTGTCTGTTTGTCTGGATCAAATTTTGAAACTCAAATTT